ATTTCATATAACTGCAGTCCATTATATAACAATCACCACATCCGAGGTCATTCCTTAGGTGACTTACAGTGTATACATGTAGCCTTAATTGTTCCTGAGTATGCGTGCCAAAAACAGGCGTAATAGTAGCGTTGCGGGTTATACAAATACGCTAAAAAGACTTAAGACATAGCTTTATTTCCAATTTTTACTTTGGCTACTTTTCAAACCATCTTAGTTCTGTGTGCAAAGCGGAGGATGGAATCAGGAGACTGAAACATTCCAACAAAATATCATTAGAGATGTAAAAGGGTATTAATGGCTTCCAGAATAGGATAATGTAAACGAAAGATGTATGGCTCATCAGTATACACAAGAGCCTGTAAAACATAGGTTAATAAAGAAGACCCCCGATAGCTTTACATGTACGAGGGGTGATCAATAAGTAATGGACGCTTTTTTACACAGATGCTTTTTATAGACCAATCCCTTCGATTTTCTTACCAGTGATACATCATTCAATTATCTATCAACTCTGAAGATTTGAAGACAATATATATATATATATATATATTACATGTTGATATATCCTTATTTCCGTGCAGGAGGTACAGGTACCCCGGGACCGACATTTACGTCACATATTCTGAAGCTATTTTAGATTGTTTTTTATTTAACATGCAATGCAGTTGAATGCAGGCTGAACCAAACAAACCATTATGGTCATGAATTACCCCATTCTGTTATGCTATAGTTGATTTTGAATATTTTATCATCACTATGTGGTATTCATGCCACATTCATTCCACAGGGCCCTATAAATAGGTTCCATCAGGTGCTACATGTACATAATTCCTCATCCTCTTAACTCAAGATTGTGAGACAAGGCTGAATCCATTCTCTGACATGGTAGCAAGATGCAGTTGCACGGGTTGTTTTATTTCATCAGTAGAGAGGTTAAGCTATACGTATAAATGCAAACCGTGAACCTGAACGCGTAAGTCCACGCTCAAGTACACGTTTAAGAAAATTTTCTGTTAAGCTACACGTCTGAAACCATGCCAGTGGACGTGGTGCTATATTTGTGTGGTGTTTGTATCTAAAGGTCATCTCTCTATGGTGTAATGGATAGCACTTCGGACTCGTGTCGGTTAGGCCTGGGTTCGAATCTGGTCGCATCAAAACATTGTTTTTTTATTTTTGCTTTATTTCATATTCAACCACAATTAAATGATCTAGTGCGCCCTCCATTATGATCTCCCCATGAACAAAATAAATTCATCTGATTTTTCAAAATAAATATACTGCTTTTATCATTACATTTATATGTACACTAGTATCTTGTTGACCTATATTCAGCACTGTATTAATGTATGGGCCACTTATTAGGGCCAATGTTCAATCATAAAGTGTACAGGGGTAGAAATGCCAAACTAGGAAGTCTTTGTGTGTCCGTCAAAATCCATTTGCATCCTACACATCCCTACATCTTATCAAAATATGTTATTAATTAATGAAACATAACAGTATAATCTTTGGATTTACAAAGTTGTCTGGGATTTCATAAGTGTAAAAGTTGCTTTTGAAGCATTTTTCTATAGCCATTTTGTAGGAAAAAATGATGAAAAAATGTATAATCTTTTAATTTGAAGTATGACCTGAATCGATTGCAAACTTTATATTTGCACATCTGATGTGATATACCATTTGTGTCATATTAATTGTGAAGTTATTTAATTTGCAACCAATTCAGGTCATTCAGTCATTCAGATTCAGGCAAATCAAATGTCGTGATAAGGCAATCGTAGGCCCCGGTTGTCATTTCATTTCGTTTAGTATACATATTGTACCAAGCCCCGGGTATCAAATTAACCCTGCCTATTTATATTGTACGGAATGAACAATCGATCACATTTGAAGTTGTAATTTACTCATTAAAATGTATTATTATTTCCAATTAAGGATTAGGGTATACCAATATAACAAGCAAGATTGTTTGTATCAAATATGGGCTCCCGGGCCATCCTAGAACATAGCTAAAATCAATAACGTAATGAGCGACGTGTAATCACTCATCTACACGTAAAAACCTGTAACTTCCACGCTTACCCAAGGAGGATTGGCTCCCAGGATCGAAACTCGATATTTTCCAACAATGAAAATGTCGTAATGTCGTTATTTTCTGAAATTAAAACCGACTATAAATTCAAAATAAACAGTTCAAAAGATTCGAACCAATATCTCGATCATTTCTTGTGAGTTTTGGAATTTTTCGTTTGGAAATAAGACCAAAATTCACGATTTAAATGTTGAAGTGAACAAAATGGCGGCTGTTTGAATTCGAATTTTGTATTACGACATACCCATATATGGGACAGAATATCGGTGGTGCACTCTGGGAGCCAATCCTCCTTGACGCTTACCTGTAGAAAGTAGACTAATCTGACGTCATTTTCCTGCGCGCGCATAGAAGTACACGTCTATGCTTTGTTGAATACGCGTCTGTAAATTGCACGAATATGATAATCTCATGTATCGACTTGTAAACTCCACGATGGCCCACAGGAAATAAACAAATCTTACGTCATTTATCTGCGCGCGCATTGAAGTTCACGTTCAAGTTTTGTTAAATACGTGTAGCTTAACCTCTCTATTGTCAATAAACCTGCGTCCTTTCTCTATAGAAATAAGTAGTATAGAAATAAACAAGTCACAAGTGGCAAGATCTGGACAATATGGTGCATTGGCCAAGGGCTCAATTTTGATGTCCAGGGATATTGTTTTCTGAACATTTTGAGATCTCTGGGCAGGTGCATTGTCCATATGGAGTAGGGTGTTCCCTTCTCTCACCACCCCTTTCTTCCACAATGCTTTCTCAAATTGACCTGCAAACCCCTTCCATACAACACTCTGACATTACAATACTTTCTGTTTATGTGTTACCAGTCAGCAACTTTTTTTAACAACACAACACTTGTTGCATATAAAACGTTCAAATCTAACTGAAATTTACCAAACTGGCCAAAATCTGAATATGTGACGTAAATGTCGGTCCTGGGGTACCTGTACCTCCTTCACGGAAATAAGGATATATCAATATGTATTATACATTTTGTCTTCAAATCTTCAGAATTGATAGATAATTGAATGATGTATCACTGGTAGGAAAATCAAAGGGATTGGTCTATAAAAAGTAGCTGTGTAAAAAAGCGTCCATTACTTATTGATCACCCCTCGTATATACCATTATTGACCAATATATATATAAAAAATGTTTCAAACATTAGAGATACCAAAAATATTCCATATTATGAGCAATAGTTTTAGGGCAGTGAAAGGACAATTTACTAGTGTACAAGGGCTTGCAAAATAGGTTAATGTAAACGAAAGACGTACAGTTACATGTATATAGTAAGGCTCATCAGTATACACAAGAGCCTGTAAAACATGGGTTAATAAAGAAGACCCCCGATAGCATTATAGATGCCACCAATAGATAATTTGCGTGATTTATTTACTCCCGTCTGAAAAGAACAAACAATTGGAATCCAACAACACAAGTACAATGACGATTATAATGTATTGTGTAATTTTCATTTATTTATCCAAAATTCATCTACTATTCATTGATGTCATATTCATTATTCAAATTGTACGACTATGTAACACAGGTGTATTGTAATTCTATATTTGCGTATTCGTGCGTTCTAATTAGGTTCAACTGGTTGGTTCGTTCACCATAACTTCACCATTATTTTTCTGAGTCGATAAAAAAATGATAACAGAAACAAGGTAGACTTTAAAACTATTATATTTATAGATAAATATTGTATTCAGCACAGGGGACAGGGGTACAGGTATGAGCATATCTCTCCCCTAATTGAATTCTATAAATTTGAACACATATCCCCTCTTCCAGTGCTCAATCCCGTTGTTATCGGGGATATCTCATGAATGAGCCCTTCCGTAGTTACTAGTTGCATGTGGTCTTGCATTGAATGTCTCAACTGGTGAATCCGTAATCGATAAGTGAAATCAAGTGAAATCGGTTCAAAAATCCAGGTTTCAACAAGTCATGATAATTTTTCTGTTTTTTACGTTTTTGGTGAATGAAAATAAATAGAGTTTTTGCACTACGATTTTTTACTTCTCTATCCACATGACTTATTTCCCGGACTTATTTACACTTGTTTTCTGTACAAAGACGGGCGCCGAACTACCGTGAACGTCATCTTCATCTTCGTAGGGTGAGGTCAGCAGTTTTACTGAAATGATGCAGGTTTATTTCTTAGTAATGTAAACGAATCCAGTGCCGCAGAATAGATCACTGGCACCGTACATTTCCATCACCTTGCTGCGAATGTAATTTTGCTTTTAATGCGATCCTAAAAGTTTTAGCCTGGGATTATAGCTCTTAAAACTCTGCTTTCCACGGAGTTACCACTTTGGACTAGACTTTTAGAGTTATATAGATTCTTGTTATTTGTAGATCAGTCCATGTTGGTATTAAAAGCTCCAGCAAGCGGTCGGTTTTGCAAATTATATGATGGCCGCCGATATATATACCTCCGAAAAGTCTACCAATCCAATGCTTTCGCCAATCTGACTTCAATGATTATGGCTTGAGATATTTTTCACGATGATGTTGGGTTGCGTAATATTATTGAACACCCTCTATTTAAGGTGGCAGACAATAAATGTCGATTTTGAAATTTTCATCGAATCTTATTATCAATAATGAATTTCTCCATAATAATGTAATATGAAGTGATTTAATCGTCTCGAGCATTAGATAAATGGAAACTTGACAAAACTGCATAATGCATAAAAAGAACATAACCATTATTTCAGATAACTTATTAAATTAATTTCATTTTATTCATTTAATACATTTCTTATAAATAAGACATAAGAAACGATGTTCTTGTTTCAAACCCAAGAAAGATTGGCTCCTCAGATCGAAACTCGATATTTTCCAACAATGTAAACGACGAAATGGCGTTATTTCTGAATTTATAACCGTCTTTAAATTCAAAATAAACGATTCAAAAGATTCGCACCAATATATCGATCATTTCTTGTGAGTTGAAGTGAACAAAATGGCGGCTGTTTGAATTCGAATTTTGTATAACGACATGCCCATATATGGAACAGATATGGAATATCGATGTTGCACTCTGGGAGCCAATCCTCCTTGTTCAAAACCGGAGGTGCATATTTTTTTGATTTACTCATTAAATTTTGACTTCAGAGTTGTATCCATTTTGGGAAAAAAATATTCAGAGCCTCTGATACTTAAAATAAGGTGAAATTAGCGTTTGCCATGTTTACAGTGATAATGTATCATGGAAAAAATAACCAGGGTCATAAAATGTTATTTTTCTACCTTTGAATTGATTGATGTCAGATCAATGCCTTTATAACAGTTGTAGTGTAATTGGTAATTTAGTGATCTAAATCAGCTAGATAGTCCAAATTAATGAAAACTGGCCAGTATATTGTGTTGAAAAGGATGAATATCGAGGGGAAAAAGATTCTACATCGCCTGTCCACGTATAATGCTCTTGACCTTATATCTGCCGCTTCCAGTCTGTCGGTATCCGTACTTTTCCTCGAGCTTAATATGCGCACCATTTGGTCGTTGTTCAAGGAATACCGATTCTTACGTTCCTCACTTATGTTAAGCTCGCTTTCATCAACAACTGTCTGAAAATAAAGCAAATGTTTATTAAAAAACGAGTAGGAGTCTAACAGTCATCCAATAAACCATTAATTAGGAACTGATAAATAAAACCAAATAATAAATAACCATTACTAATAAGCCAAGTGGGTTGCTCATGAACAACACATGCAAGGTATAGTAGAGTGTAAGAGGTTAAGAGGAAATTTGATGGCGTCCTCCTTTTCGTTGTTCAGCTCATTCATCATGTTCACACACATTCAATAATTAATCCAATCAAATACACCGATTCGATTGCCATTCCTTGTTTAATGACTTGACAACAGCCTTTGAAAAGTTTCGCTGTCATGGGCGTAGCGCTATTTTTCTAAGTAGTACGCCACCACTGGAACAAGAGTTGAGCGAAGCAAAAAAACGAGAGTTTAGGGGGTTTGGGGGGGGGGGGGTTCTCCCCAGAATATTTTGAAATTTTGTTGTATTTGGAGCGAATTTGCAACCATCATCTGCGTACCCAGCGTACCGAGCGCTACGCCTATGGCTGTATGTTCTCATTACGATATACTCGTTTTTAGGATATCAGCCTGACTCGCGTTTTTAGGAGGCAACGGGATGGTCTGAGAACTGTTTAGTGTGACTGATGGTAAGCATAACATTTTTGGCAAGTTGATTGATTAATATAACGCATTGGATGCATATGACGACGAGCTTCATTCCTGTACCAATCAGGTTCATCAATGACTTGACATATCGGGCATTTGCTCATTGAGGTCCGATAGACTTCATCGGCAACAGCGGATATCACTAGGGAGAATGGACATCCGGGTAAACTCATGCAAAATCCTATTGGTACAGGGAAAGCTTGAATAAAGTCCTTTTCAAAAACTCACCTCAAAAAGTTCTTCCTCTAGGATCTGATCCCGAACAGATTGTCTCAACAACTTTCTTTCTTTTTCTTTATGTTCCCTCATGTCTCTCCTGTAGAGAAGATTCACTATAGCGGTTTCTAACATAGAGGCAAACACGAAGATTAGACACGTAGACAACCATACATCTATTGCTTTGACGTACGAAACTTTTGGTAGTGAGGAAGACAATCCTGAAGCCTGGGTTGTCATTGTTAAAACGGTAAGAACACCTAAAAAGAATGAAGTAACAAATAGTGAGACTCAACAGAGCGCAGGATTGGTAAATTAAACAGTCGTTTTTTAATGAGATCGCCCAAAATAGCAAATATACTGACGTGTAGGGAAAAATGTTTAAGTTATTTGGATAAGGCATCTGATTTACGTTTGGGTTGTATTTGCTTACCAAGAGACACTCTAGATGCTACTGACTCTGGGTCAAGCCAGAATGTCACCCAAGAGAGTAAGACGATCAAAATACTCGGAATATACGTCTGGATGATGTAGAATCCAAGATCACGTTTCAAGAGCAGGTCACCAAAAATACAAGCGAAAGCCCCTGGAAATATAATATACGAGGAATGATCATAAATTATCATAACCTACAGTATCTTACAAAACGTAACATAACGTTTTATCAGAATAAATAAATTTTCTGAATATCTCTGTATTTATTGCATCATCGTACTCAGTCATTTCTGATCATTAGCTGTGAGACTCAGTCTGGTATTACATCTAATAATGAAGCATGTAAGTATCCCCCATGGCAGACATATTTGAAAATCTAAATTCATTAAAATTTGATAGGACATTGAAAACAAGAAATCCGTGATAAAATCGGTAAATATTTATGAGCAACAGTGAAGCATGCAATATTACCCGTAGCATATTTTGCAGTACAATCTCCATGGATTGTTCCTGTTAAGTGAAACTCCGGAAGCTTATACACATCTTTTTGTACTTGTATGGGTTCAGGCTCTCTCCACTCGATGAGCATGTCAGCTGTGCTATAGCCATCTAGAATCGAGACATGAAATAGATTCACATAATGATGTATATGAATAAATTCAATGGTTAATTAATTTTCCATAATGTTCTAACTTCCGTTACATTATACTATGTTTATCAGGCAAATGAGTAATTGGATCAATTTGAGCCAGATTCACTATTACACGTCGCACGAAACTGGGTACCATGCGCGCAGAGTCTAGTTAAACTACGAAGCTCTCTTTTAAGAAGTGAAGTCAAACGAATGCAAAGGGTAGAAACTGGGTACAATTAGCGTAACATTATGGTGTCAAAATACCAAAACAAAATATATTTGTCCTTACTCAATTCTGAATAAAAACACAGAGTAACACGATCTCGTAGACGATATTTCTAAAATGATTTTGAATTTTGAAAAACGGTCAGGAAATTACTTGAAGCATTAGTAGAAATTGATAATATGCAATATTCTAGATAAAAAGTCTCGTAAACCATCTCAAATTTAATAATATTATTTGCAATACGAACGGTTACTGTTTTGCACACTTCGCAAGGACAATATTGTACAGGTAATCTTATTCAAATCAGACCTAAATTAGGAGGTTAAGTAAAGGTAAACTTATTGCTGATCCCATTTGCCTTCAAAACGTGAAAGCGTCCATATAAGAAAATTCGAATTGTAGTCGTGACGCATGGATGTCAATCGTCCATTGAACAAATTGTGAATTTTTATTGGTGTTCTAATTATTATTTCAAAAGGTTCTCTCAATTGCAACTAACGTCATGTATGTATTTTCGCAGTACTAGTCAAAGTTTGTCAATATTTTTAACCATGTAGAAATGCAATACACGACGGTTTGTTGCGGGACGTCAAGCATATGATCAGCTAAATTAACCTCACTAAACGGCTGATTTATAAAAATGACTAACAAGGCATGCAAAATATCATTCATTTGTTACAGACGCCGAGCTCCGAATGCCTTTTGTATACGCAAGCTCTGATCGATAGATAGCCGTCTCCCCATGCCAAAAAGTTTTGCAAATATGTAATACTTCATTTAATAAAATCTATAAAAACGTACAGATGTTCTTTGAATGTAAACTACGGTTTTACTTACAGCTCTCAATTTGAATTCTACATGTTTGATTGTCCATAGGAAACTTGTACAGGTACATTTGGCATGACATTACCAGTGTTAATCTGAAAATTAAAGGAATTGCGTTCTGAGTTCGATGGTAAAAAGTATGCTACATAGCCCTGTGAACGTTGTTACGCGGTATATGGCATACATTCATGGTTGCGCGGTATTTGTGATACGGGTGAATATGCCATACTCACCTGCGGTATATGGCATATTCCGCAGGTGAGTATGCGATATTCCGCAGTGAATATGCGATACATTGATTTCAGTGAATACCCGATACTCACCTGCGGAATATGTCATACTCACTTGGGGAATATGCCATATACCGCAGGTGAATATGACATATACCGCAGGTGAAAACGTGATACAGAAAGTCTCGATTTGATTGGTTGCAAGAATCGAATCTTAATGTAAAACTACGCTGGATTACCAATTTATTTAGTGCGTCGAATACTAATATATTAATCCTGGATTGATTGAGTAAGTTTATTACGCGAGATTGGTGACTGATACTTCTGCTAAGTTGATATATTCGATACACAGTATTGTTAACGTTGATTCAGCAATATTATAATTATTTATAACGTTTTACTTGTTCGTTCAATCGATGCAATTGACAATTGCGTACTTCCGTATCATGTTCTCATTGGTTAATGTGTATGCTATATACCGCGAATCTGTCATACACCGCAAGTGAATATGCCATATTCGTTGCGGAATATGACATATTTTTGTATGCTGTTTACCGCGTAATAAACGTTACATTTTACATAATAGGACTCTGGTAGCTAATGGCTTCATAACTTCCTAATCTCATATCCCTTAAATCCGGAATATCTAAAATACACTTGTTTCATCAATACCTCTGACTTAACACTAGTTCCCCGTCGGGTGATAATCGTAAAAGTTTATTCGGAACGGTAATTTCATGAACTCGTCCATCTTTTTCTACAGGTATGAACAGATCTGGGAGCCATATATTCTCTGTTTGGGTATGGTACAGCTGGAGTGTCTCGTTTGTGGAGTTATGCGCCAGCCTACTGTCTGTCCAATACATCCGAAAATATAGATTGACCATATAATCCTAAATTGAAAAACACAGGGCAATTGATGTCAAGGTAATGTTAAAATTGAGTCACTCAATGTTTTTTTTGTAATTTGACGTTTTGTAAATTGTACGAATATTTGCGAAACGCAGAAAATATTGTTTCCAATCAATTGCATCCTCGGATCACAGGGCTTCAAAATCCAGAATACGTCTTTCTTTTTACCCCCGGATAATGGACACCTGCTTAGGGGGATGAATCAATTGACGCATTCGGAAAACGTGTCTTTATCGGGGTCGAGTCTCATCAAAAATACACCAATCAACAGAGTAACGAGTTTGAATTATTGGATAAAATTAGCTTTAATATCGCTGAACTTTAATATTTAAATGTGGCATATTCTGCTAAAACTACAGACCTTGTTAGGCAATAAAAACAACGTATTTAGTATATATTGTAATTATCGCAAGTGACTTGAGTTTATATATTTAATACAAACCATAGTGTGAACGTTGAAAGAGCCCATGGCGTGAATAAATGTGTTAAGTCTTATGACGACAGGGCCACCTCCTAAAAACAAAGGATAAACCAAATGAAAAAAGTTTTTTGCAGGCAGATTGACTGGTTCTCATCGATGCTCATTGTTGCAAAAAACAAAACAAATGACTATAATGGAGGTATATATTATGTAATGCACCTGTAATACTCTTATTTGTATTACATTTCGTTTGGAATATATCCTTCTGCATTCAAAGCAATTTAGAAAAAGTAGTTTTTAAATATTCAAATATTTTAGGCAAGCAAGGTGGTTCGTTTATATTACACAAATGTGGCCGTTACACCGCTGTTCAATAAATGATGGCGTACCTGGGGGATATGGCCGCACTCGCTTGTCATACCCATCTAGCAATTGGTTCATTAGTACATGCGTTCCATTGGGTGTTATGCAGGCAACCCTGAAATAATGTATTTCGATTTTTCTATTGTTGATTATTGCACATTCATATAACTGTAATCGTCAAGTAAAGAGGCAACGGGTCGTTTTTTTTGTTTCTAACATGACTGAGATATAGACCTACGACTAAACAGGGAATATTCAACTTGGCCAAAAAAGGATTTGCTATATAAAATAAGTAGAGATGTTTTTATATTACAGTGGCCATCGTTTTACATATTTAATTTAATTGGTATTCAATTCAATTCAATTATTTATTTCATAATTCTTATATAATATACACTATAAAAAAACAAGCCGCTAGACACCCTAGTGGGTATATGTTGCGGTTTAACAGAAATCATTAAAATGACAACTAGACTACATATAAAAGAAAACACTTATATTATGTTACATGTAGGTATATAAAAATGGTATTAACAATTAATCTAAGGATGTACAATGTAAAAATGTTACAAAAATCGGGTACCAGTATAAAATCAACAGTATAGTATGATATTGGTATTATACATTATCGATAGATGAGTAGTTTTTTATATGAAGATTTGAAAATATTTAGAGTGGAGCATTTTTTAATATCATGTGGTAGAGCATTCCAAAGATTAGGACCCAGATAGCGAAGGGAAAGTTTAGAGCATTTAGGGATATGAAAATAATGCAATTGTCTTGTGTAATGATGATGACTATTAATGTTGATATCAAACAAGTCTTGAAATAGATTTTTTGGAAGACTGGGGTGCTTATTAAAGATTTTGTACATGAACTGACCAGTACAATATCTGTTGACATCAAAAATATTTAATATTCTAAGATCTTTAAATAGGGGAGCGGAGTGAGAAAGTCTATCCTTATTTAAAGCTAGCCTTAAGAATTGTTTCTGCAGTTTATGTAGACGATCATAAAATGATTTAAATGTGTTACCCCAGATTATGTTGCAATAATTTAATTGAGAGTGTATCAATGAGTAGTAAATTGTTTTGAAACTGTCTATTTGAAGTAGATGTTTAATGTGATAAAGAGAACCAATGACGCGAGAAATCTTTGTTTCAACAGATTTTATGTGCTCTTGATTTGATAGTAGGATTTTGTTGATTCTTCAAATAATCTTCATCCTCAGAAATTTATTGTCAGGGAACTTTCGTATCGTTAAAAACGTTGAATGTCGGACTGTCGGTCGGTTGATCTATGATTTCCATCTACAGTGTAGTTCAAGCATCGATCACATTTTCTATGGCAACTGTACGGTCTATCATTTCTGTGGTCGGTAACATTTCTACAGTCGCCTTAGAATCACTGCCCTCTGATAATTTAGCAGTCACATTTTCTAAGAGAGCCGTACGGCATATTGTGATTTTGAGAAGAGATAAAAACTACTCAAGTGTGGCAAATTTGACTTCTAGTTCTAGGCTAATTATTACAACTAAGGTTATAGGCATGAGCAATTTTGAACTTACCAATTTGTGAGGATGCCTAACCATAGAAGAAGAAACCATTGTGCTTTTTGAGTCATGTTGAATTATGCTATGATCATGTGCCGAATGTTTCGGTGCAAAAATGTAGTTTTCTCCTATTAACGTATTCACCAAGCTTTACCTGGTCCAAGTACTTTTTGTTATTACGTATGTAATGACTTATTTCCTTTTTCGAATTTTGGGATATTTAATGGTTTGCTATTATATCAACTATTACGTCATAATTCAGAATATGACCAATTACAATTATTTTATTTTAGGAAAAATCGTAAACTGTTTCCAAGTAATAAACAATTACAGCATCGCGGCAAGACATTATACCATTATGACGTCACAACTCTAGCTCCATAGTGCGTGTCAATTCTGTTAAAACAAGGTTTTCCTACTACTGAAATCGTCATTTTGATAATAGTAGTGTTGATTGATGCAGCCTGTGACTATGATTAATATATAAGTAAAATACTTTTTGAAAGGATAATATCCACACTTTTCCCCACACATTATCCTGCAAGTGTTATGTCATTCGAGTTTAAGAATACTTGGCCGAAACGTCGAACAAATGGTCTCAGGAGACTGCGGGGTAAGGAAGACTTAGAGCATGGACGTATATCGTTGTGGAGATATTCTACTGGGGTTCCTGTCCACAAAACCTATATTTATCAAAAGAAGGGATATTGGAGCTCAGAAATACAATGATTTTGAATTTGCAATTTTCTCAGTATTTATAAGATATGTCCGAATTTATCTGAAAACATGTCAAAGTTGAGCGGAGAATCTCATTTTAAGTTCGCCGCGGAGTGATATTGACCTCAGCGATTGTACCAGAATTTTTCTGGGAAACCTGATAATAGAGGGTTAAGTGTCTTCAAGTCAATTTATCTAAAATGTAATAATCACCCTTGGTATACGCAGCTAACGAAAATTGACCGGCACGGGTCAAAAGCTGGACCGGCACGGGTTAACGGTTTTATTTGAATTTTAAACAGCCATAACTTGCTCAATATTGACTTCCTCGTGTCTAATTTGAAATATATGATTCCTCCCGATGCTTTTAAGTACCCCAATTTTTTACAGATTTTTAAACGGACCAAAACTCTCTAAATGCGCATTTATGCTCTTTTCTCTCGAGAACGACTGTCTCATTTTCACGATAACTTTTATTTAGTACTTCTAACATATAAGATCTATTTTTCCCCATCAAGGTATGATGTAAATGACATGCTATTTACATATTGTGAGTTTCAATGACGCGCGTTTGATTTTATAAAAAATGCCAAACTTTGTGACAAAGAATTTCATCCTGCTTGCAGCGAGAAGACGGACCGGTTCGGGGCAATAGCATGAACATCATTCAGGAATCTTTATACATGTGTGTTACATCTATTATTACAAGAATCTAAAGTTTTAAATCTTCTCTTAAAACGTCTCCGATAGACCGTTACATGTCAGTTGTAAATTCCAATGGTTAGAATATTGCCCATCTATGCTATCAGGTCATTGCTCTATTTTTGTTCAGAATTGCATTCATTTCTGAACAAAATACTCAATCGGCAGGGCGCTGGCAGAGGAATCGGGGCTTATTTGAGCTAGACATAGCTCGGTGTCTTCTTCTTTCCCTTTTTAGTTTTACCGTAATTATTGAAGATCTAGGAAGTAATACAAGGTAAGACAAAAAACGCCACTTTTTCAAAATATGCTATAACTTTTTTAATTCTTGATATCAAATCATAATTTCCATACCAAATGAAACCTGAGGTTGCTACCTAGTATCTAGCCATGGATTATGAATTTTACAATTGCATTGATACTGCTATACCAGCAATGCGACCAAGACTAAAAATATATCATCAGAGTGAATGTCGGACCAATTGAACTTCTCTTCCAGAACAAATAAAATCCAAGTTGACAGACTTATTACATTAAATTGTTACTGAAGAGAAAATAACGAACAAACCAAGCTAATTACAATGGGAAAACATATGAAATCTAGTTTTTTTAAATGTTTTATTTCACAATACAATTGATGCTGAATGTTCAGCTCTCAATAAAAGTTTTCAGCGTATCATTCGATCAAAACTCATTGAAGACCTAAGTTCTTGATGGATATTATTTTGAATTAGATACATAGAGGTATGAAATATAACTTGGCGTTAAAAGTATTATAGCAGCAAAGTCAACATGACTAATATCGATATCATCTGATATTATCCTCTTTCATTTACTATGTGCCTTGATTTTTTCGAACAAATGCACCAGACAAAATATGCGATAACAATAATACCATTGTTTTCCAAATTGAAACTGGAAGATATGAACGCCTTGCTGTTCAAGATAGACTTTGTGTGATTTGCAATGAAGAGGTCGCACTTGCGATGCTAATTTGATGTGTGCTATGCATTCGTACTTTCAAACCTTCTGGCAAACTGTTTTTAATAATACAATACATCTTATTATCCCACGATTAATGTGTTATCTGTACAATAACAGCTATTGATATTTCTGATATCATTGAAATTCGTGTGATATTTTCCAGAAAATCGTTTATCAAACTCATATGCGTGTGATATCGTTTATCTCACGCATATCCGCGTGATATCACATTTGCATTTCGCGCCACAATATTGTTGGGAATTAGGTCAGATAATTTATTCTCTTTTGAGAAAAAAGGTCCATTAATTTATTCTCTTTAAGTTTCATTGGTGTATTAAATTACGATTGTGTATATAATTTGATTAGAAGGCTGCTAAATAACGATTAAAAATTGTATTTATGATGAACTATATCACAAGGTGATCGTAATCATGGGATAAACCCAATATCACATAATTTCTCGTGATATCATTTTATCGCCTCGTAGATATCAAATATCAACACTCATTCGCTTCGCTCACTCGTGTTGATATTTGATATCAACTCGGCGATAAAAATGATATCACTCAAAATGATGTGATATTCTGTATATATTTTCGACAATGTCTGTGGTACAGACTGTGTGCCAGGTATATAATCTTCTAGAGACTCTAAAATATCGGCGATAATACGGATAGCTCAATAAAATAGAGAGTGTTCGCAACTCACTTATAGTATAACTTGTGTTTTTGCGTATAGATACTGAACAAATATTTCACTCTATTGAGGTGAATACCTGTACATCTTTCACAAGTGATATTCCACGAAGCCCGAAGGGCAAGTGGAATATCACCTTGTGAAAGTGCTACAGGTATTCACCGAAAATAGAGTGAAATATTTGTTTTATTATATCACTGTCTATATAGCTAGCTAAACATCCCTAATATTATTAAGTCAAAGGTTAACATTGAAATATATACGAATCTACTCGGTTCGTCTGCCATTTTGACTTCTGAACTAAATTATTTACACTGAACGAAAACAAATTCTTTGAAAATTCCCGGGAGCGTGGGATATCGCTAGATATCTCACGTTTGTCTTATCTGATTAGCATTGCCATTGAATATCGCCAGATATCCCACGACATGTGACCCGGTTTTGACCAATCATACTGTCGCTAGCTAGATAGCGATATAATAATGCCCTATACTTTAATAAACACGATCATAAGTAATACGTTATAAGGGAGTGCTATATGGGAGTTGCGAAAACTCACTAATATGAGTGTTACAAAACGTATGTTTTCTAAATTACTTGCTGGAGTTAATCCCAAGAAATAAAAGTCTACTGGGTTACCAAGTTTACAATTTCAAGCAGTAAAATGCCCACTAATATCAATGGCTATGGGTCTTGTGGTAGGACAATATTTGCACGTTTTTCTGCCATGGCCAGTATTTTGCTCTCATCAGACATAATAACGATATGCACACAAAAGATAATACAATTCTTTGTTCAGAATGTGGACGAAATTTTCAAAGAAGGGATAATTTTTTAGCTCACCTTGCAAAACACGATAACAATAAAACTAAAATAAAATGCGGTAGCTGCGAAAAGGTTTTTGCAAATAACAGTAACAGAAAACGACACGAAGAAAACTGCATCCAAAAGATGCCTGAGAAATGCAAGATTTGTAAAAAAGTATGCACGAGCAGGAGAATGAGAAAACAACATGAGTTAGATGTGCACAGCAAAAGAAGGGATTACATTTGTACATGCCATGCAAAATTCAAACAAAGAAGAAATCTTCTTGCGCATTGTAAAAAAAGAGGACAAGCATGTAGGCCTATAGACCAGGAAAACGACAAGTGACTTCAACATGTAGACTATCACTAAAGGGCATGTTATTGTATATGTTTCTCATTTTAGTGTTCCTGTTTTATTTAATCTCATGACATTTCAATGTTACAGTATTTGCAATATTTTTGAATAAAATATTTTCTGTCTTGAGTTATTGTTTCTCTGCTAATAGAAATCATATAGTATACGATATATATACCGATACTGTAAACCTTGAAAGTACTGTTGACTGAGAATAATCGAATACTAGTAATACGTGAAGAAATATTTGATAAGTTGATCAAGATATCATATTTCACGAAAAAAACATATAATACGATTTAGATTTTTTCAATTTCTTTTTTCAATTCTGATTTAAAAATAATAATTTTGAAACAGTACCTAGCAGCGGTCAACAGTACTGAGTAGCGGTCAACAGTACCCAGTAACGGTCAACAGTACCCAGTATCGGTCAACAGTACATTTTGTTGACCGTTAATTGACCAATCAAAATTGAGTATTTCAACTGAGGTACTAACAATGTCTAGCAATCTACGTACCTGTTCGCGGAGGTCAGTAAGTTTTTAAAGAGAAATACTTTTGTATTCCGTTGGATTGATGAACCGAGTGAGATACACGTAATTCCAAGAGATAAACCTTGTATTTCAACCGATCACACATAACCTATTTTCACATACCTTCAGAGGCATATTTGCTAGAAGCATAGATATTACATGGACACTTCTCTTGCAGTTGCAATGAAATTTCCCCGTGCAGTGAACAATTTACTGAGGTTCAAAGATTTAAAAAGATAACAACGTTTCTAATTATTTACTAATCTTATCATCATTTACACATCTCGGGATGCTTTTCATGCCAGTCCGATTATTTGGGAAACTGAAAATATATTTTTGTGACCCATGTAGCAAATATTCGTCATTGTAGTAATGATAATAGGAAAGCATTTTTAGTTCTACAAGTATGAGAATATTATAATGTTTTGATATTTCAAGCTAACTCTCGATAGAAAATAGATGGTGGTGATTAAACTTTGTAAAGACAAAAACGCGATTGGATGTTATCGAGCTATACTAGGAGAACTAAAGAATATATATTTCATATCGCACTTTTCAAAACAGAAATTGCTATGTTCAGTGATACAAATTATTCACCTACTCTTATACATACTATTTACCTTCCTAGTTATGGGGTACAAAGGGATTATGCATTGGGGAGATTTTAATATGGAGTTTATATAGGGGTAGGAAATGCATATCTCCGGAGCAGTAAACCCCATTTCGAAACCCAGCGTAAATAACTGCTTTATCCTATACCCAGAAGATTTTTAGAATTGCCGAAAGTGGAAAGGTATGCTCGGGAGCGGGAGATATGGCGGGAGATACGTAGGTTCTGGATATGGAAACTTAAGAGTCGGGATACAGATGAGAATATATCTTGCTAACTTATCTTCCTAAAACTACTTGGCATAGGATAAATAGAGATTACTCTATATAAGGTTCTAGGTTTCAAGGGCAGATAAATTATAAGGTCCTAGGATAATACCAATATTCAGAACCTACTAAAGGAAAAACTGTTTATCCCATGCCCCTTTATATTCAATGGCTTGATTTTTCCAGCGGGCTTGGCACTTAGATATTTAAGATAATGAGAACTGAGTCTAACGTGAAGCGGGAAGATACATCCGCCTGCTCAGCCGGCATGTGAATATGGATTATGTTGGAGGTTTTTGGATACAGGGTTTATCCTCAGGGAAATATGTGTATTTCCCAATGGACCGCAGTGACCGAGGGATATATATATATATTTATCCCATACTTGGACGTGTTACAGGTACATAAAGCCGGTTTGTAAAAACTTATATTTCCATCAGCGGGCAGATATAGCTTTACGTCCCGCTCCGAGCGGGCAGATATAGTATATCTGCCCGCTACGTCATAATCGCCGCTGGCATCTTTGTTCATAATTTGTAACGTTCGCGCTATAATGACTGTAAACGACAATGGAGAAAACACAGACAATCGGGATCTGTTTGATGGTTTAAAAAAGGGAAGGAGCATCCACTTAATCAATCAAAAAATATCGAGAAAATAAATGTGGGAAAATCCGCCAACGGCCAAGAAAACAAAACTGGACATGAATATTCTAGAATATTTCCACGATTGAACAATGTTAACCAGATGACCAAGATTGGTATGGGATAAACATATTATCCTATAGTCGGTACAGGATATTGGGATTATCCCTTGGTCAATATAATATATTTTCCCTCGGGACCTGCGGCCCTCGGGCAAATATATTATATTTGCCTCGGGATAATCCCAATATCCTGAACCTCATATAGGATAATCTCTATATATATATTTCCAGCTGTATCCAACTTGCTCTGGAGCTTTTTACCAACCTAATTTTTTACCTCAAATGCGTCGTAGAATGGGATAAATGTTGTTATACAATAAATATTTTAATTAAAAGTGTCCCAAGAAGCGATGGAACAACCGAAGGTAAGTTGGACATGTAACGGTTTGTCGGAGAGGTTCTAAGAGAAGATTTGAAACTTTAGATCCTTGTAATAATAGATGTAACACACATGTATAAAGATTCCTGAATGATGTTCATGCTATTGCCCCGAACCGGTCCGTCTTCTCGCTGCAGGCAGGATGAAATTCTTTGTCACAAAGTTTGGCATTTTTTATAAAATCAAACGCGCGTCATTGAAACTCACAATATGTAAAAAGCATGTCATTTACATCATACCTTGATGGGGAAAATAGATCTTATATGTTAGAAGTACTAAATAAAAGTTATCGTGAAAATGAGACAGTCGTTCTCGAGAGAAAAGAGCATAAATGCGCATTTAGAGAGTCTTGGTCCGTTTAAAAATCTGTAAAAAATTGGGGTACTTAAAAGCATCGGGAGGAATCATATATTTCAAATTAGACACGAGGAAGTCAATATTGAGCAAGTTATGGCTGTTTTAAATTCAAATAAAACCGTTAACCCGTGCCGGTCCAGCTTTTGACCCGTGCCGGTCAATTTTCGTTAGCTGCGTATACCAAGGGTGATAATGATCATGAATGGGAATTCCTACTGTAATCTTCCACCATACACCTTCGATGTGAAAGAAATTACAGTCCCACAGATACGCCCTTTCATTCTACAATATATGGCCATTATTGACCCGTACTGGATAGGAACCTAGGAGTAGTTGTGTGTGTGTGGGGGGGGGGGTGTATAGAGGGTCTTGGAAATGCATATACAATATTTCTCAGCTCTCTTATTTACGTATATCGTAAAAAAAACAATATTTTTTCACCCCTTTTATACCATATACAATATTTTTCACAGCTCCTATACCATATACGATATTTTAGGTGAAATACAATATACGATAATTTTAAAACTGCTTTTGATTAAAGTTTGGATATTTATAAGGAGATAATATTATATTAGGAGAGAATCCATGTACTAACACCCCAGTCACATTTGTCGCACGGCGGCCGCAAGTCGACCGCAGAACAATTAAATCGGTGAATTTCTGCGGCGAGCGTAGAAAAACTACGCTCGCCTTGCGGCCTCCGTACGGCGTATGCAGATTTTTACAGGCCACAGAGAAGGCATAGAAATTATAACTCGGAGTTATAATATTTGTTCATTTCTGAGGACCCCGTAGAAATCAACTGGCTCAACAAGATTGAATCATTATTTTTCAATGTTTCACGATCACTTTTCCTTTGATATTACATCCTAGCACTTTGAATAACATTTATAAATTCTCCTGATGTAAATAAAATTAAAAAAACTATTATTTATCAATATAAATTTAAAATTCACCGTGCGGCTGCCGTGGGAAATGTGACTGCAAAAGTATGAGAGCGCAGAAATTCTGCGGCGAGCGTAGAAAAGCTACTAGCCGCAGAAATGATAGACCGCAAGGTCGCCGTAGGAAATGTGACTGGGGTGTAAAGTAAATGTATTATTATAAGGCAAATAGACTCCACATACATACCACAATGATTTCATTTATTACATTATGAATAAGACACCATTGGGGTACATCCGCATGTTCAGAAAACCTGTGACCACATTTTATTTTCAGGTAAACAAGTTGATTTAAACACATTTATGATATAAGATTTATGACTTCTCTTTAGTGATTTCACAACCTACTTTGACCAAAAAACTAACTTTAACATTTCTGCAATTTGCTAAAGCCATTAGCCCATACCCTGTAGATATTCAAAATTAGCACAAAACCTGCATCATTGGAATGGGTGGAACTCAGTGTTCCTCTTTCTTATGACCTACTTTCCCATGACTTATTTTAATGTCAATGGAATCCTTCATAGTGAGCCAGGGGAAAAAATCCTTGAAACATGATTTATGCCGCAAAATTGAGAATGTGGAATAAAAGATTCATCATGTGTTTTATGAAAATGAAGTTTGCTGAGGAAAATATGTATCAGATAGTGAAGATTCACAATGCACAATAATTTTGTAAACCAGTTACCTGGAAAATATTAGTATTGAAAACAGTTTCAGAAATAAAGGACTTCACAAACTTCCATGTAGATAATTCATTTTTGATTGGACTCGAGTCTGGAAACTAGAGTTTGAAATAAAGGCAAGATGAGACTTGATTGTTTACACATTTGAAACAAGAGACACTTCGAGGTTTCAGATAAGGCAGCCTCAAAGACAGTATAAGTTAAACAAAGGTGTGTCAAACCACATGTTTCACGAATGATTTCAAGGCAAAGATGTATTGATGAGAATGAAAACTACTCTATGTAACTAGAAATAACTTTCTTTTAAAGGACCATGGACGGTATCGCAACAGATTTCAGTCATATATTGGATTTTGGCTATTTTCTGAGGATTTGAACAGGTGCATATGTTAGGCCAATGCATTAACTCCAAGGTGCAAACACCCTATCAACATGTTTTTTCTGTAATGTTGTCCTGATTTCCAGCCCTTTTCACACCTGTTTTTCAATGTTTGTTGCATCGATCACTCTGTTGCGTTTTGAGACATGGTTAACATCTTTAAATGAAAATATAATTTATGCAGGAGTTTTAAAGATATCAATTTTGGATGACCAAAATTAAGCTGAAAACAATGGATCACATGAGTTTTCCCTATGGGAAAATAACATGGGAAATACATGTACTGTTTTCCACTTTATCCCAAATAAATCATATTTTAGAGGTTAACTGTGTCTCAAATTGCAACATATTGGTGCATCAAATATTGAAAAAACATATGTGGAAAGGGCTGAAAATCAGGACAACACTTCAGAAAAACCTTCCCTGTCTCAAAGTCCAAATTATTTTATTACCTCTATGAGTTCTTGATCTGGAGTTAATGCATTGGCCTAACATATGCACCTGTTCAAATCCCCAATAAATAGCCGAAATCCAACAAATGACAGTTTGAAGACCAAATAAATACCTTTTGCTATATTATGCTATACATTTGTATAAGCATTGTGATGCTTGTATTAAATAAAACATGCGCTGTATGAACACTTTATACTCAAATATTTTAATGATTTATCCCACATACCCTGAAACACGAGTAGCCATAGTGACCATATTTTTCATCAAAGTTAAGATGAGTCAATGACATTTGGCAGTCTCACGCCCGGTGATCTGATGAAATGAACGGAGGGGGAGTAGCTGATTTTCGGTAAATGTTGAAGATTTATTTTTTCAAGAAAAAGTTTACAATTGAATGGCTAAATGAATAAGTGCAATGCACAGGGAAATATGTTTGGTCTTCTTGGATTTTTTTTGAACTGATGGAGTTCTAAGATAAAAGATCTATTAAAAAAGGCGCAGCGTCGCCAACGTGCAAATGCCAATGTTTTTGCTATAAATCAAGCAACAATGGTCTGCACGACATGGTATAAATATATAAGCAACGTTTGCATTACAAAATTCATTGCCGGTTTTTTAAAATAATTTTTCAAATGATAGATAAAAATAATCGAAAATAATTAAAATTGAACGGAGGGGGTGAACTGAGGGGGGGGGGAGTGATATGTCTTTAAGGTGGAAGAAATTTCCACAAATTCGTGTACTTGAAAAATGAACTCACTTACTCAGTAACTTGATGTTACAACTCTGAAAAGAGAAAAATGGGGACATATTGAGTTATTGGAAGTTTTCATATGTCTTACAGTCTTATAGACACATTACTCCCCCCCCTCCGTTCAATTTTAATAATTTTCGATTACTATTTATAAAACGTATGGTAACGTGTTTTACAAAACCAATGATGACACTAGTTTTGTGATAATTACTTCACTTACAAGTATTTATTACAGGTCGTGTGTGGTTGGTTGATTTATAGCAAAAACATTGGCATTTGCACGTTGGCGACGCTGCATTTTTTAATAGATCTTTTATTTTAGAACTCCACAGTTCAAAAAAAATCCAAGAAGACCTAACACTATTCCCCCGTCCACTGCGTCTATTCATTTCCTCAGTCATATTTGATCTACTGCAACAGTACGGCGACTTTATCTTCGCCAAATCGAGAAAAAATATCCTGCATGAATTACAATTTAGGAATAAGCAATACAATGTAGATCTTCTATATCGATTTTGTGAAGCTGCGGCTGCTCTAGAGTAAATGTGACTGAGCTTGTATTCGTGAATGCAACTAACGGCTAGCGGCTACCGGATTAACCTACTATTTTATGAGCACCTTATTTAGATATGAATACTTAATACCTGCCGCAGTATTCCATTTATTTTTAATCGAGTTGGTTATAAGATACTAGGTTAATCCCGTAGCCGTTAGCCGTCTGTTGCATTGCGAATATTCGCCGAGGCTAAACTTGTATTCGTGAATGCAACAAACGCCTGTCGACTATCGGATTTACCTTTTATTCTATGACAAACTCATTTAAATATGAATGGAATAATGACAGGTATTATTTATATTGAAATGAGTTAAACATAAAATAGTATGCTAATCCGGTTGCCGACAGGATTTAGTTGTATTTGCGAATACAAGCTTACTGTTTGAAGCAATGGTAAGGTTGTCCATAATTCGATACCATCGGCAACATTACATTTGGAATAAAACGCAAAATTAAGGGACTCGCGCGGGCCAGATCCATTAATAAATTATTGTATGTTGCACATTTCTGGAACGTTTCACCAGATAGAGTGAATTGTAAAGTAAAAATACATATTGGTACGTATTTATTGCCTCATTTATATGAGAGAATACATTTTAGTATTAATATAGTTTACATAAAAAATATAATATACAAGGATACGATTAAATTATGTGATAAAAAGTTGTTGTTTTGGAAAACATAAAAATAAAATGATAGAAAATGTATGTGTCAAGCAGAGTCAACAGGCTTTGAATTCCAATCCTCTGATATCTGCCAAAAGCGATTGCGAGGAAAAACAGGCAGAATGTATAATATCTATTGAAAAATGTCATGTATTCGTAGTAGGGCAATTCTCTTCACATTTTCAACTCCGATTTCGCATTCCTCTTCTTTGGTATGTTCAAGTCTCTCTTTTATTCCTTGAATTATCGCATTCTTTTTATTTTCCCGTACACATATAACAAATGGAAAGCCAAATTTATCTTGATAGAGCTTGTTTCTTTCTCCGAGTTGTTTTTGTTCGTCTTCGGTTAAATCCAATAAGCCGGCTTGTGACTGTTCAAGGGATGACTCCTTAGAAAGAGTTCCAGATTTGGCTATCCGACCAGCGAGGTCTGGATGCAATCGAAGCACTCCTTCTTTTCCTGTAACGTAAAATCACATATGAAATTAAAGAGAATAACACGGACTTATCGATATTCACCGTGTATATGTTCATGTTAGAATTCATTTTATGTTCGCGTATGGATTCAATATAAATCAAAATGTTGCATCAAAGTCAAAACAATTTCAATGAGCAAATCGAAGACGAAATATATGAAACCCTCTCCATCACTGTAATACTGACAAATACGAATGTGAAAATATTGTGTTGATAATAAGTTAATGGATAACTATTTATTCAAATGGCATGTAATCTCCTAGTACACCACTCTGTAATATAACATATAGAGCAAAGGTAAGAACGACAGTCTTATAAATAAATGTTCATCAACACATGACATTTAAATAAAAGTGTAAAATGTAAAACCCACTCTTCAAATTGAAGCCTGTAGCTATAGATCAATGTAAATGTACTCTAAAGCAATACTGTCCCTTTACCGAATTTATAGACAACGCTATGCCACTTTAATATATAGTTTCCGAGAGAATATATGGACCCTCCCTAAACAGACATGCCGTATGATACCAGGGGCGGATCCAGGATTTTGTGTTAGGGGGGGGGGGGGGGGCGTGTGATAATAACTGTGAGCGAAGAGTCAAATTTTGTAAAAAGCGATGAGGCAAAACACGGATTTTATTACCCCACGCCCCCGTCTAGATCCGCTGGTGGATACACCCTGATGATATTGTATTTTGACAACACAACATGATTATACACTCGGTCATTTCATTCACGTGACACGTCACTAAGCCTATTACACTGTACCAAATGACAAACATATTTACCATTGTTAGAGAGAGAATCAAGGAATGCACCGAATGCTTCTCCAAGGTCCTTCTCAGATGAAAATGGTCTATCAGCCCATACACTCGCAGCAGCAAGTGGACAATGTTCCACTACATTTCGAAATGTATTGATGAAATTGTCATATCCCATTGCATTAACACTGTCCATTGATAGAGACATTTTCACGTACCTTCTAGTAAAGACTGTCGACGTGCGATGTTAAAAATGTACAACTAAGAAATGAATTTGCTAAATTATAAAAGTACTGTTTAGGTAAACACGTTTATCGATTGAACCTAGATAAGGGGCCAATGCAAAAGTTCAATGTAAATTCAATTCAATTCAAAAGTATATATCCAAATGCACTTGAGATCGACTGTTCAAGTAAATTGAAGGGTATTTCTTGCACTTTCATATATTCTCGATGATCGATTTTTCTGTCCCATTTGGCTATCTGAGGACTGTCCCCTGTTAAGTAGAGGTCTGGTGTAACTCCCGAGTCCGTATTTACTCGAGCACAGCTTGTCAGAGCTGCCTATACATTGTCTCGGGTTGTCCTCTAGAAACTCGCAATCTATTTCAATTCGCGAGCTACAGGTAGCTATAACTCGAGTAAACTCGCGAGTTTTGCCTATCTTGCAAGCATGTAAAATGAATTCGGGTCCCAGGTACTTCATTAGGAGAATACATACACGGAAGCTTCAAATTCATTTCTCTGAGATTTTTCATGCACAGTTTCCAAAATTCCATTTTAACACATTTCCTATTTCTGATCGGAAGTAACTGACAGGTTAAAGTAAGAAAAATATAATTATAAATTGTCAGGAAATTCTCATGGCATTTTCACCACTTAATAAAATCCATATAACAACATGTACACTGAATTATAATTTAGTTTTTATTTCCCAATTTACAGGTCTATGTTAATTGCGAAGGCATGGTTTTAAATGTTTATTTTTGGCTATGCATTTGATGTCTTTGTTTTATGTTGGACCTCCTCTACATATTCATTTCCTGTGTTTCCACTTGACCCATATGTCGGATTGTCAAACCGCTGCAAATCATGAGTATAGTTCACGTTTTTCTCGTTTAGAGTACCGTATTGTTTTTTGAGCGATATGCCACGTGATCGCATGACGTAGATTGTGATTCCCGCCAAAAGTAGGACAACAAATAGACAAGCAAAAACTATTCCAACAATGCCTCCTGCAGAAAGTGATGGCTTCTTGCCTGAAAGAAAGAATCATTGCACATGTTTCATAATGACCACCCCCTCATCCATAGCCAATCCGAGATGACACTGTACCGATTCTACATCTCATATTAATAAACCTTATCCCATTTCTTTAGTGATTGATCATTCTTACATCAAATTCCACCATTTGTAACGGTTATCAAGAGAGCAGATAATTAATGTATACTTCCATTGAATCATTTTTATCTATCTGGCTAGATTTTTAAGTATTTAATAACTTTTCTCAAATATCATAAAGATATGTGCTCAGCATCCATCAAACGCTATAATTGGTAAATTACTTTATAGATAAGTGGGCTGAGCCTTGGTTATCAATACTTTATTGTACACAGCTAAGTTTTGAGAAATGTGGCTGTTCGATTACATGCTAATAGACCAATTTGCTCATTTTGTAGTGATATGTATTGAGTTGATTGTAAAATACGTTGAGCTAAACCTTTGCTTCAATAAGTCCAGAATTGAACACGCTTACATATGACATACGACACATTCGGATGTGCCATCTGGAATGGGTTGAAGAGGGGTCAGTATGAACATCATGCATATGGAATGTCTAATCAAGGTATATGCCCATATCAAATCGTGAATTATAATGGAAGATTCGGGGAAAAGATCTTACTTAAAATAAACATCCGATAAAGTGTTTTCGTTAAATTACCAAATTTTAGAAAGAATATTGGATGATGACAAACCTGGCCTTTGATTCCCCTGGTTCGAATCTAAAACAAAGAGCAGTCAATCAAGATAACCTTTCGATGGATATTGCATCGATTTATTTCAAGGTATAGCCACTGATTTAAAAGTATGACACGAGCTTAATCACATTCCGTACGACATTATGACACCTTACCCTACCTTGCGGCCATGTTCAAAATAGATACAGGCCACGGTGAAGTTGAAATGGAGTGGGTATTCTCTATCATTGCCTATAGGGTTTATTTGAAACAATACAAGTGCAAACTACTCGATGAATCATGAGAATGTATAGCAGGACACTTGGAATATAATATAAAATCTAGTTTAACTTCAGAAAATACGGAAATAAACAAACGTGTCCTCCATTGGCAATTTCACTGTAGCATGCATCCCTTTTAAAGAAATACGGGCTGCGTATGCATGTGGGTAGGGTAGTGTGAATTATAGTATAAATCAAAACTAAGTATGAGCAAACCTTGAAATTTGGCTGAAATGGCAAATGTTTTGAGGCTACTAATAGACCGCACTGCATCCAAAGTTCCTCCTTCCTTCACATCTTCAGCGTATGAGATCATGGTGAGTGTCCTATAGAGTATGGATCTTTCTCCACTACAGGGAATCGAAGCATCAGATGCATCCTTATCATAGTACAATCCAATGAAGTCGTGTTTTTGCACACTGATTTTATTCTTCAGAGTAGTTGTAACTTTAGAATTTATGTCACTGTCTTGAAGTTTCACTTGCTTGATGAGTTTAAATATATTGAGTGTTCTAGTATTTCTCCAAATACCAACGTATACAGGGATATTTGGAATTGTTCTAAAGTATTCAAATCCTGTAATATATCCATCGCAAGGGAAAGAGTCATTGAGCATTAGGTGCATGTATGTGCTACAGTCCTCCGGTAGATTCTCGGCTGGGCCCCCTATGAGCCCATTTTTAGGACAAATCGGTGGTGGAGATTTTGTAGCACGTTGCGTTGGCGTTATGCCTGTCGTCACTTGTGGAGGAATACCTAAAAGGCAAATTAAGTTATACTCGTATGATCTCAAAACGTATATATGTTTCTCAAACATATATTCACCCTAGCAAATCCATGTATCTAATTGGCAAATCTAGATCACGTGAGTGTCCGGTATAATCCAATACCAGATTGGATATCTCAAATAGAAACATACCATGTAGTTTCAACATTTAAGGTGAAAATAGATTTTTTAAAAGTACCTCATTACAGCTAGCAATAATAGTTTAGTTTAATAATACTTTATTTCTGTGTCACAGGTTTACTAAAATATTACAAGTAAAATACATGTATTAAAAAACCCAACAGCCGACATCGGCCTACGAGACACCATATAAATATACAAAGATAGTCAATAAAAAAATATAGCATCGGTATGTCGAATAATATCACAGAGGATGTAGAGTAAGTTTGCAGAGTGTGAACAATTCACAGACAAAATGACTAGAGTTAAATAACATACAATATAAACATGTGATTTCAAAATGCAATAACTGAGAATACAGTAATTATGACTGGTTGATAATATTACGATAATACGATAATAATCAACAACTTGATACAAACTAAGTTTTATGGGAAACAGACTATTGAAAGAATCGATATTTTCAAAAGACATAAGTACTACTTTATATAATTTGCATTTATGTACCTGTGAAGACAGCATTAAGAGCAAATGTGCTTTTTATTCTTTTGGCTCCAGTGAAGTCTATAGTATTACCAACGATGAAATCTTCGTCATATCTGGCAATATTAATTGTCGTGAATAACTCGTCGTCTGGCACAACAGAGTCGTTACCCCGGGAATTCGGGATGCCCGGATACACTTGCTGTTGAGGAAAATGGACGCCTAAGAAATCACCAATTTTGACTTCAATACTTTCATCAGTAGCCAACGGAATGTAATGTACACCGATCTGCCCCAATAGCATCGAAGGGAATCTTTGTTTATATATTAGTTGATACATGTTTGGTTTCCCATTCACCGGGCGCCAAATTCCAACATAAGTGACCGCCTCCAAAGAAGATTTGAAATAAAAGAAGCCAGAAACCGAGCCATCGCATGGGAAGCTGTTGTCGATCATGAGGTGAGCGTATGTTCCACCACTTCTGGGAAGATCTGTTGCGTGGCGTCCAATCATGTCTGGGCATGTTCCTAAAATATTGAATGCAATTAAATACTTTTTTCCGTAAATATGACACACATTTTCAATTGTAATTGATTGATGTTTTTTAAGACAATGACAACTTAATATAAATACTCTTTTCTTCAGTGCTTATCACTGTCCTTCATTTCATCAAATTTTCTGCTATGGCGAGTGGCGGGACCTAACATTTAGACTATAACCGTTGAATCTATTTAGGAACCCAGATTCCGCGTCATATACCATTATAAATCAGTCAAATGCGTATGTCTGGTGATGAGAAACTGGAGTACTTCAATATGTGAACGCTTACCTGGAGCCAATGATGGTTTTGGAGTCGGTGGGACAGTCTTTTGATAACGACCTGGAGGAAATAGTATAAGTGGACTTACGTACCGACTTCAACTAAACAAATTATTGATCGTTAGACGAATTCCCCATTAGCACTAGATAAATGAACTTTAGAAAATGATTGATATACATATACATATGCTATTATTAGATTAATATACCACACAGAGGGATATCGCAATATTCCCACTCAACATCTACATCCGTCGTATAGCACCATGCTCCGCCAGGATTGTTGGTTGGATTGCGGCAGTAATTTGAGGCTTCTTCAATTGTGCTCTCTGGAAATAACGCCGGGTCGTATTTGTCATGAGGATGCGGTGATTGTGAGTCCCATCGCTGACATGTTCGCCCGCTGATGGTTTTAGCGGTTTTTCCGAGGTACATATGAGCGAATGGTGAAAGAGAACATTCTGAAATGAGAGAAAATAACAGTAATTAGAGTCCTCCTAATACACATCTCAATATCGGAATCAAGTTTAATTCAAGGCTTTAAGATAGACCTACTCTTGATAATCTCACTGTTTAAGAGATTATACGGAATTCAAAATACAGGGTGTCCCATAAAAGTGTACCTAGATGAAGATGAAATGTCTCTGAGTGACGAAGGAATATTCATTGAATTTGTTCCTTTGACAGGCAGTTGAATCATTTTAAACATAAAAAATATTTAGGTACTTTTATTTAGTTTTAAAGAAAAGTTTGATTTAGTATCATTACCATTGTTTCAGTATTGTACAGGGACAAACATATTACTTATTATTTACTTATGAGTGATGGAATAAAATTCTTGAAATTCTGTCGTTTGCATATCAAAAAGTTTGGTAACACTATGTAGTTTTTGAGAAAAATTTGCTTCAGTGCTATCTCTCATTCATTTTTGGAAATTCAGTTATTCTTATTGCTAAATTAAATTCTGATAACTTTTTTTCTTTATCTTGTAAAAAGTCTGACTTTCTGATTAAGGAAAAAGCGGTATTTCGATCTCATTTGGTGTAAACATTTTACGGGACACCTTGTATACTTATCTAAAGGTAGAAATCTATTGTTCCTACCACACACAGGGATGTCACAATATTGCCAAATAAGACTAGCATTCGTTGTATGACACCAAGGATTTTCATTAAAATTGGTAGGATTTCTGCATTTGTTTCCTGCTTCCTTTACGGATCCATCTGGAAAGTATTGTGGGTCATAATCGGGATGTTTATTCGGAACTTGCGAGTCCCATCTCTGGCATGCGTACCCTTCTCGTGTGGTGTGTACCTTGCCATTGTACTCCATACCTGCTTTAGTTGCCTTGCAATCTGGAAGGGATTTATACATGTAAACTGTTTGAATTAATAAAGAATCCTGTTTCATTTTTCAAAAGAAATTTCAAAAGCAAAAGTACATTTACTAGCCTGTACACATATTGAATTAGGCCAGAGCCCGAGTCCATTGTAAGGATCGGTAAGTACACATATAAATGCTTTAAACAATAATGAAAGACAGGCTTCTTTTATGCAATTCAAATATACTATCATGATGACATTGTCAAGTTCTTTATGAAACCATATTGTACTGTGATAGCGTCACTATTTGACTAAGTATTGCACTGATTAGTTCATTATAATGAAAGCATAATGTCCTGTTAAATAATGTTTCTGCTACCTTTAATAAAGGCACTGAAATCAATGACATACCACAATACGCCACGTCACAATACTCCCATCTAATTTCAGTATCAGTTGTAAAACACCAAACACCACCGGGATTATATGTTGGGTTCCGGCAATAGTTCATAGTGTCCTCGAGTCTTGCATCTGGAAAGCGACTTTCGTTCCAATGGTTATGCTCGTGTGGAAATTGAGAAACCCACATCTGACAGGTTCTACCTGATCTTGTAGTTGCTTTTTTACCCATATATTCTCGTCCAGCCTCAGAGTACTTGCATTCTAGAAAAAAGTATCGACATAAAATTATAAAATGCACGCTAACTGTTCAGTTTTAGTCCTACATCTTCTTTGATAACTCTAGGTATTTGGCTTTTAAAGACCCTTTATTTGTGCTGTGACCCTTGACCCATGATTAGGTGACACGAGGTAAAAGTCAACTTGATGGGCCATGTTTATTCCAAGGTCAAAGGTCAATATATTGATATTTGGTGGTTTATTGCATTTTATGGTGTAAATTCTGTGTCAAAAGTTTACAGACATAATTTCGCAATTTAGGTGCACGAAAATGTACGATTTCGTGTGCTCTTTATTCCAGACGCTCTAAAAGCGAACGCTCTCCATTCCTGACGCTAATGTTCTATTCCAGACGCTACATGTATTTACCTATTCCCGACGCTATCTATTCTGGACGCTCTGAAACCGAACGCTATCTATTCAGGACGCTCCATTCTGGACGCTCCCTATTAAACCGGACGCTATCGATTCCAGACGCTCTATTCCAGACGCTCTATTCTGGACGCTATTAAACCGGACGCTATCGATTCCAGACGCTCTATTCCAGACGCTCCATTCTGGACGCTATTTAACCGGTCGCTTGTATTCAAGACGCTCCATTCTGGACGCTCGATGACATTAACCAAAAGCTCTCCACTCTTATTCTGATTGATATATTATGAACGTATTGCATTAACCCCGACCTCAACATATCACATCAAGGGCAATACAATATTAAACACGCGCTTCTATCATATCGTAGTAAAGTTTCGAACATTTTCAAAAGATATTAGCACTTTTGATATTAAGTTTACGAATTTAATTTATAGATCATGAACGTAAATTGCATTAACACTGTCTACAACATCTCACATCAAGAGCAATGAAGTATTTAACGAGCACATCTTACATATCATATCATTTGTTGCGGTAGACCTTCGGATTTGTTTTGTTTAGTAACATTACATAATTGGATTAGCTCAATATATGTAAGCTAGGGGTGGTAGCATATATTTTAAAATGGCTATGGCAATCATTGGTAAAAAATCTTAGGAAATATATGCCATTTTCCTGGGGCTAGTTTACCCACAAACGATTTATTTTGAGCAATTTAAATGCATACTCAACTATTCGACAGATATGCTACTTTGAAATTAAGAACATAAATAAACATACTTTTGCTTTTTTAGTCATTTATTCATGGAACAAATCTCACGTTACTGCCAACTCGAAAAGCTAGTTTCGCATTCGTCAGGTCTAAGGTGGATAAATGGGTTTTTGGTGGTTCAGGTGATTTGTTTAATGTTTCAGCTTTCCTGGTAGGTATATGTATTATGTTGGTAGTATATCTTGTTGTTGAGATATTAACTTAAATGTTCCGTTTAGTGGTCCGTATTTCAAATATTTCGATTTTATTGTATTTGGTTTTTATCAAATGGGTGTATTGGTTAATTGTATTGGGGTATGGACAGTTCGGTGTTGGTTCGGTTGTTTTGTTCATTGCGCTTCATTGTCATGTGTATTTTGTGTTGATATCGTGTGTGTTCGAAGAGGCATTAACTTGTTCGTGTATGGTTGTATTTTTTATTTTTCCGCATTTTGCGATATTTTCGATTTGTTAAGTTGGTGTGAGTTTGACTGTGTCTCGGGTAGGTCTATTGTGTGTAAATTACATTTTGGTGGTTCAGGAAATCTGCTTGATGTTTTAGCTTTCAGTTGGTATATGTATTATGTTGTTAGCATATCTTGTTGTTGAGATATTAACTTGAGTGTGGGGTATGATGGTCCGCTTTTCAAATATTTCGATTTTCTATATTCGGTTTTTATCGAATGGGTGTAATGCGTATTGGTTAATTGCATCAGGGTATGGTCAGTTCAATGTTGAGATTTAATTTGTTTGTTTTGTTCATTGTTTTAGCTTCATGGTCAGGTATATTTTATGTTCATATTGTGCGTATGAGAATAGTTGTTAACTTGTTCGTGTTTGGTCGTGTTTTTGGTGTTTTCCGCGTTTGCGGTATTTTCGATTTGTTAAGCTGGTGTGAGTTTGGTGGTGTCTAGGGTGGGTCTATGGTGGGTGAATTGTTTTTTTATTGGTTCAAGTGGCTTGTTTAATACTTTAGCTTTCTATTGGTGTGTGTATTATGTTGGTGGCATATCTTGTTGTTGAGATATTAACTTGAATGTAGGGTTTAATAGTCAGAATTTCAAATATTTTGATTTTCCCATGTTTGTGTTTTATCGGAAGGGTGTATGCGTATTGGTTAATTGTGTCTGGCTGTGGTTGTTTTATTGTTTAAGTTTGGTTTGGTTGTATTGTTTTTCTTAAGCCTCTATTGTGAGGTATTTTTGTGTTGATAGTGTGTGTGTTGAGGGAGTTATCAACTTGTTTGCGCATAACCCTTTTTTGGTTTGATCTGAGTTTTGTGGTGTTTTGGTTTGTGTATGTGGTGTTGGTTTGGTGGTGTGTGTAGTACGCATGTGGTGGGCTAATTTATTTTTCGATGGTTTGGTTGTTTTACGATTTGTTTTGGCTTCGTGTTGCTGTGTGTGTTGTGTTGGTGGCATGTCTCGTTGTTAAGATATTAACTTGATTTTGGGTGCCGTCTTCCCGTTTATGGATATTCTTGTTTTCCGTGTGTTGCGGAATTGTTGTCGGTTTTATAGAAATATGTCGCTCTTTGTTAATTCGTTTGGTTACAAGGGGCGATATTTTTTTCAGATTGGTAGTAAGGTTGCTTTCGGTGAGTTCGAAGTGTACACGCATTGTTCATGCAGTCTGTGAACAAGTGGTGAGGGGTCTCTGAATGGGGACCTGGAAGACATAATCTAGTCGCCTTAGTTTCCCTAAACTATCGCATGTCTAATATGTGACAAGAGTAGTATATGTCAGTAAATAAGGCGTAAGATACTAGTATTGTTCGTATACCCTAGAGATAATATTGTTTTTGTTTTGGGGGTAAGGTTGCCAAACTTCCCCTAACCACCGTTAGTACTCATGTGACGGGTAGTCTATATTTGGTAGATCCTAGCTATAGTGTAATGACGTTGGTGTGGTATTTTCTATCTTAATGATCATTTACGTAGGAGAGACAATCTGAACCCGGGATTTCGAACATGAGAATATGAGATGGAACTGTCTGAATGGAATACATAGGCCTGACAAATCAGATCAGAGGGGCAACCCCCCCCCTGGAGTTGACTTTTTGTTGATATGAAAAATGCATTTGTATTAACAGGGTACCTACTCACTCATCAACTTCATGTTAAGGCTCCTTTTTAATATGGCACATACCTCATCAACCCCCTACGTAGGCTTTACTTTTAATAGGGTACCTACCCCCACAAAATTATAGATAAATCCATGGGCTTTCAAAAGCTTTTGAAAGCCCATGATAAATCTAATTTCAAAGTTATTCAATTCATGAAAGCGTCTGGTCTGGAACAGAAATCTCAATGACTAAGATAAACAAATCGAGTTCAATGCACGAGAGGTTTATCCTTACAGGAAATAAACAAATGGCGTGTTTTGATAACTTATTAAGAATAAACCCCGGGAATAAACAGTGTATCTGATTGCTAAAAACTTGGTAAATGAATCAGTCCATGTACGTTTTACCTAAATATAATAAACAAGATACAAACTATTTCATTAAAAGTAAATAATTAAAACATAAGACGGGATCATATCAGAATTTCACTCAGGGAAATAAGAAATGTTTTCTTTTGGCAAATTATTGGGGATTATGAAATTGTCTCTCCAAATAGCTAAATATCTGCAACTTTGTCTCATTTGCTTGTTTTCCTCTTTTATGAAACAGCATCGTGTGTTAATTTATTATAGCTCACCACACATCTATAAAAGTTTTTTTATTTTGGCAAATCAATTTCACATTTATGGGTGAAGTTTCGAGATCTTCCATTTGTGTACGAGAGGAAAACTTAACATCCAAATTCCCAGTAAATACCCCCATAACGTATTAGTATACAGCTTGGCATATGAAATATTCTCCAAATGAAACAAAGCAGTTCTAAGAAGGACTTACATGTATGTTGGCCGTTGTACATGTATTCTTTGAACAACCACTCTCTCAATAATGTTTTCAGAATCATTATAACGGATTACTTTATCTCCAAGACAATTTCAACAAACTGGAATTTACAAAACTTCCCTTATTTCTTAAAAATGGACTGGTCCAGTTGACTCACCTGGAGCCGCTATATTGTTAGCTCACATGGTGAGCTATTGCAATCATTCGCTTGTCCGTTCGTCCGTCTGTCTGTCCGTCTGTCCGTGGACAAAATTTCCGGTTTAGTTTTGGGAGTGATGACTTAGACCCTGTCTTGAGACATCACCCGTTGTGAACACGCATTAAGTCATGCAATCTGTGTCAAATGGTGAGCGGTCTCATTTAGGGGACCTGGGAGACATACCTGTAGTCTAGTGTCTAAGCTTCCCCGAACCACCGTCAATGATTATGTGACAGGTAGAGTATATTAAGTTGAGCCTAGGATGGTGACATTGGTAGTGTCACTCCTATTGCCATTTTTTGTAGAGAAAGGCCGGACATACCGATCTTTTTTTTCTTTTTTTATTGGATCTTACACATACATCACACATGATATACACACATGTTCACATAATTCTTTTACATTTTACAAATAGGTACTGTTTTAACAGCTCATCACCATGTATGAGGATTTCCTAACAATATGGTTTACAAATGTTTACAGCATAATGTACAATGGTCTTCAAAAACATATAGATTACCACAGTTTTATAATATATAACTCCATACCTTAAATATAATACATACCGTAGTTATTGGCTTAATATGTTCAATAAACGATCTCCAAGTATTGAAGGTTTCTTGCATACCATTTGAATTTGCAATCCAATGTTCTGTTCATCTTTGATTTTATATTTTATGATTTCCTTTGTTTGGATAAAGGTGATTTTAGTTTTAGTCAGTCTCGATTTATGTATTAATTTGTTTATATACATA